TTTGGGCTACTTTGTGTCTGTAATAAACCAAAGAATGGATTCAATTAATTCATGCAAGTGCTTTCTCATCTGTGACATATAATATGGCTAATCTTTATTTAACAAGTAGCAAAAGGCTAATATGATGCAAGTTACAAATGTACATTAAGAAATCCTCCTTAAAATTGGCTGTTTAAAAAGATGTGAGAGAACCTTACAGAATGGCAATGTAAAAAAAAAAATCTGGGCAATACTGTATTGAAAAAATATTGCGTGTATTGATTAATTAAATAGTATTTTTTGGTGCTATTTTTGTTGTTAACAGTCAGGAACAGAAAATGAGAATAAAATACTTTCTATAATGTATTTCTTGCTTAATCTAAGTGTGCTTAAGCTAATGGATGCTGCAGTTTGTCCTGAAGATTATTTCCAATATATAATACAGGTATTGTCAAATGTTTGGAGCTGTGAACAGGGAGTCGGATAATGGGAAATTTAAAAAAATCCAACTATATTAGGCACTTCAATAGAATAATGTCTTGTAATTCATATAGCAGTCAGACTGTCTGATAAAGAAAACTGCAGAATACTTAAGGAGAGAGGACACAATTTACAGATTCTGTAATCATCAAAATTCCTTATTTGTGCAGTCATAACTAATGCTCCCATGAGACAAGGTGTTTTGCAGATGATATCTTTTATTGGACCAACTACGTGGAATAGACTTGGGTTGGGGTAGACTTAGACAAACTTTCGCCTGGAATGTCTTCTTCTTCAGGTCACTCCCATGACATTTGTCCTCTCCCAACCAATGGCAAACTATGATGCCAGTCTGACTGGGAAACAGCAGGATGACCTTCTCATTACGGTCTGACTACCACTACAGTTGGTTTTAAACCCACTCCATGTCCTTGTCTGCCCTGGTAAACTTCCCTAGTTCAATTTTTATTTTTTCATGTAGATCAGCTGACAGAACCAAGAAGTGTTGGGCTGTGCAACATATTTTATCTTTTGAGGTTTCTGACCCAAATAATTGCTTCTCCACATGGCCAGAATATTTCCAGTCTGAAACTCATCTCACCAGTTCTTCACATCCTCTGGGTTAATCTCATTCTCTATTGTTAAAATATGAGGGTTGGTTACAAGACCTGCTGCATCTTGGTCTTGTTTCTTATGGACTTGTCTGTGTAACCTCATTTTTCCAGAGAGAATTTTCCAGTTCTGCCCCACTTGTAAACGCTGCAAAGGTTGCTTGGGTCCAGAAATTACTTCGGAAGTATTTTTCGCTCAGCAGTTCTTTTTTCCCTCAGACAAAAGTACCTTTATGATACAATGGCCACCGAGCCATGAACAGGGAGAAGTGTCACTCATAATGAAGATCTTAGGTTTAAAAGAACTGCCACATATGTATATGTACACCCGTTAAGTGTGTCCCTCAGCCAGTCCCAGGCACATGAACGACACTCTCCCATCTATATCTTACCTTATGGCCTGCCTTGCTGCTGTATTCACTATGTTTCCTGTTTCTCGATCAGAGCCGTCCTAAGAATATATTGCAGACTTCTCTTGTCTTCTGGCTTGACTCTCATGACAGGCAGCAGAGACACAAACTGGGGAGAAGAAGAGCCAGAAGTTAGGACCGAGAGTTGTAGGATTGTGGCTGGCAGACTTCCTGTGCACGTGGAAGAAAACACTTTGGGGTTGTCGGGAGGTCGGCCTGAAGTTCACCAGACCTTCTGGGTTAAGTTGGACTGATGCTGGGGGTTGAACTTAGGGTTTTTTAGTGGAGGTTGGTATTTGTGACTTGAGGGTGTCACTAAGATGGATCCTCCGTAGCAGTGTAGACATAACCCTAGTATCCCTTATCCTTCAGAGTTCAGTACTTGAATTTTAAAAATATTCTCAAGTGATCAGCATCTTTAATTTTTATTATTGATACTTTATAAAATGTCCAAAAACAACATGAAGCACCATACAGAAACCCAAAGCCTAGGTCTTTGTCCCAAGTCATTATAATCTTTGGATCTGATCCTGCACTTTTTGAAGGCAGAATTATAATTGACTTCTGTGAAAGCAGCATCAGCCCTTAATTTTAGACGTAACGCAAAACAGGTGAGTGAGTGGAGGAGTAAAATGGTGAAGCAGAGCAAGGCCTATGTGGCAACAATACTGAGCACAGACTCCAATGTTCGTATTTATTAAGAATCTTTTTTGGAATATGTAAGAAATAATATTTAAGAAGCTGTTATTGAGATTCCAGTATTCATGGAAAGAAGGTGGTTTTATTTTCCACTAAATTCAACTTTTGTTGATATGCTTACTAATTTTCAAAGATGATTATTTTAAAGCACCAATAAAGCTAGACTGAAAGGAGTTATATTACTGAAAAACTGAAGTTGTGCATGAGTTCGCAATATTTCTTATTTTAAATTCCTTGATATTAAATACACGTGACGTGTTGTTTCAGGATAACATGAGCAGAGGTTGTTGAAAGCTGAAATGTAGTGACTTTAACAAGGCTTCTATTTCAATGCTGAGTAAGACTGACAAAACATTATTTGATTAGCATCCTTACCAAAATCAAATTTAAACTATGGGATAACAAGATGGAACCAGATGAAATGCAAAATGGTTCTGTCCATTTCAATCCACAGTTAAAGATCTGCAATAGGAAAGAAAGAAATATTGATAAAGAAAATTATTTTGTTACTATCTGTGCTACTTAATACCTTCATAAAATACATGTTTGACATTTAGTCAAGAACTTTTAAAACACTTGAGGAAAGCTATCCTCTGACCTATCTGATTTAATTACAACATTCTAAATGTGAGCTCAAAAATTTTTATGTCATAAATTTTGGTTTGTTTTAAAAAGGGCATAATCATATGGTTAAGAAAATAAGTTACGTTCACTTGTAAAATTGTTTCTTTTGTGTTTGCTTCACAGTATTTAGTATTTTCCTTTGTACCTTTTTTTAATAGTTGAGCTTTAAGTGAAACTCTGAAAAACAACAATGTTAGAATTCAAAATAAAGTGGAAGATTTTATTTTCAGGGTCACAAGTACCATAGCGAGATTTCTCTCTTAAACAATGACACTTAGTATCTCTGTAGTTCTATGAATACTTTTGAAGTGTCATATTAAAACCAATCTCTTGGCCTTCAGGCAAAGAGAAGCAATTAGTCTTGGAGTTGTGAATAAATAAAAATCCATTTATATACCCGTCCTTGACATGTACCTTGCAAATCTTAGAAACTTCATCTAGTGGGAAAAGAAATGGTAAATCATGAACACCAATACTAATCATATTGCAATGTTGCTTCCTAAAACTGTTTAGTTTGTATCAATCTTTTAAGTATTAATTCATATGTATATATTCATACATATTGAACACAACAACAAAGAAGCATCCACACACTTGAGTGAGAAGAAAGAACTGAGTGAGTGCATATAGAGATATCCAGTATACCTTTAATATCTTCTACATTCATATGGGCAAAAACATCCTCTCAAGAACATTGTCCTTTTCTAGATACCATAAAAACAATGCCGAACAAGTTGCCTGCAATCAATATGCTTGTCTTTTTCATCCTCAGCTGCTATTGTGTCTTTGATTTGATCTGCAAACAAACAGGAAAAGATCTGTATTAACCACACAATGTATTATCATGCAGCACAATTGTATGGCACCTTGTGGAGATGGGTTGGGGATGAGTGAGGAAGCAATGTCTACTTGTTGTTCAGGAAGATAATTTTATAATCTCTACTTCCCCTTTACTGTGCCTTGATTCAGGAGCATTAGATTGTATGTTATTTTCATTTTTGCTCAAGATTCTTACATTTCTTTTACAATTGGCACTGAGCAACCTACAGATTAACTGAAAAATCAACTTGCTGAGTTTTATCAGATCTTCAGTCTGTGCCCCACCAAGAAGATAATTTGACTTGGGCTGCACAAGGCATTACATCTCAATTCTCCCCTCCCTCCCCGGGGAACTGCACTTGTTGAACAGAATGCTGTAAAAGGGAAACGACTTGGCTAGGCTCTTGTCCAGTGCCAGGGTGAAGCAGCTGTTCAAAGCCATCCCTATGTTCAGAGGTTAGCTGCAAATAAAATCCACTCTTTTGCACTGCACTGTCACAGGTGAAACAGTGACATGCCTCAAGGGTCAAAGGAGAAACAGTTGTCCCAGCTACAAAACATACCTGGGCTGGTAGGATGGTCAAGGCAAAACAAATCTGAGTCTGTACTGGATGCAAATCTCTCAGCTGACCTAGTTCTCATTCTCCTTTTCATTTCAGAAGCTCAGCTAAAAATCCATAAATTAAGGAAATTAACTGATGGAGCCTCCGGCATCTTTGTAAGCTATTTAAATCTTTAAATTTACAACATCTTCTGCATATATCAAGTAATTGAACTAACTGCAGGGATGTAACTTTAATGAGAAAATTTCCCTCTTCTCCTGTAGTTTGTACTCTCTCAAAATAAAAAAAAAATAATAAAAAAAAATAAAAACTACCCTTAGGAAAAAAAGTTTCTGTTTATTCCTGCCATGGAAGATAACTTTCAAAAACCTCAATTTGAGGGGCTTCTGCCTTCTCCACTTTGTTCCTCGATGGTGGGATTTAAAAAAAAAAAGAAGAGAAGTCAACCAGTTTGCAGCCTTCCCCGCTCAGCCCAAAGTGACAGGAGAGCAGAGAGTGGCAGCCCCACGCATCAGCTCCTGTCTCTGTTGGAAGAGCTCTCGGGTGAGGACAAGCACTTCTGATTTCCCTTTAACTATAAAAATGGCTTGACCTTTGCAACTACGACAACAACACACAATAATAATAATTACATAACTTTTTTGCACTTACAGTTCTTTGCGGCTAGTAGGCGCTGGAGTTTTAAAATTAACCTCCTACTGGTCCACAGAGCCTGACTTTTATTTGCAATGTGCACACACACACACACACACACACCCACCCCACAGCCCATCACAGTAATACCCCGCTGGAGCCATGCGGGGAGGGTGGAGGTCAAGGAAAGAGCCCGTCCCCAGGGGCCGCACACCGGGGACACACGCTGCGGAAAGTTTATTCCGGGGGAAAACCTCCCGTGCGTGGAGGTGGGGGGGAGGAGGAAGATGCCACTTCGGGTGGCACTGCCTCAGCCACGGGGATGCTGTGCAAAACCACCGGGACCCGACGTCTCTTTTGCTTAAAAAAAAAAAAAAAAAAGTTTATTCGGGGGCTTGGCGAAGGGCTGAAGAGGAGGCAGAGCAAGAGCAGTATGCCACCTGGGGCTGGTAGCAGTCAAGCCAGTGACCCCCAGGCTCCCAAAGTTTGTGCGAGGTAAACTCCCCCGGGGTGGAGGGGAGCAGCGGGCGCGAGCCCCGCGCCGGAGCGGAGCCGCCCGCAAGTTCGCGGGGCCGGGGGAGGGGAGGGAGAGAGGGAGGGAGGCGGCTGCCGCCGGGGCCCAGCCCGGAGCTGCCTGTCTGCCTGGGAAATCTTCATGGCAGACATCTCCATCTAGCCGTGCGCTATAATTGAAATGGCGCTTTTGGCCAGGGGCGGCCTGCCAGGGCGCTTTCTGCAATAGCACAATGCATGTCGATAGACGTCATTTGGTTTTAATGGCCTACAGGAAATTTGGCGTTTACAATGCGAGACATTAGCAAAGGGTGAAAGGGAAAAAAAAGGGGGGGGGGGAGAAGAGGGGGGGAGCCAGGCTCCCCCCACATGCCGCCCCCCCCGCGCCTCCCGCCTGGGGGCTGCTTCCCTCCTGGGTTGTTAGCATTATTCTTATTATTTGGGGGATTATTTTAAACTTGGGCTAGTTTATCAACAAGTGCAGAGCGGGTGCGACCCTAATTGTAGCAGGAGAGTCAAGAGCTGTGAGAAACGTGCCCTGTGTTACTTATTTGGGAGCTGAAAATTTATGCCTAGTTGGAAACGCCTGGGGAAATATTACATCAGACCAAATGACAATGATTAAAATCAGCTTCCCCCCCCCCCTTCCTCCTTCTTCTTTTCAGTAAGTCTATTGAAGGACGTGACAGTGGCCTGATACTCCACAACATTAAACCGTTATCCCCCCAGCCAGGCAAGGAGAGGAGCTGGCAGCCCAAACCGTTAGCAAAAGGCTCCTGCAGCCGAGGAGGGAAGCGAGGGGATTTGGGGCGGGGGCTGGGGCCGCCCGGATTTGGGGGGATTATTATTTTATCGCTTTTTTTCCCCTCCCCCCCCCCTTTTTTTTTCCCCTCCGTCTGGACATCTTCCCCAAAAGGAGGGGGGGGGAAAAAAATCCCATTTTCATCGCAAAAATTAGCTAGGGCGAGAGCAAAGGGCTGAGCTAATTGTAGCCTAATCCTCTGCCCTGGAGGCGTTTGCAAAGCCCTGAGCAAGAATTCGCTTCTTCTTTCTTTCTTTTTTTTTTTTTCTCCCCCTCTTCTCCCTTCCCTCTGTTATTTAGAGACGGGATTATTGCCTTTCTTCTCATAACAGCCTTGGCGGTTTCATTTAAAGGCTTCTCTCTTTTTTCTTTTTTTTTTCCCTTTTTTTTTTTTTTTTGGTGCACACACAAAATAAACAGAAAGAAACAAAAAAATAAATAAATAAAAGAGAGAGAGAGAGCGAGCGAGACAGGGAGAGAAGCTTTAAAAATCATAATAATCCCAGCAGGACCGGAGGAGCAAAGCTAGTAATAAGCAGGGGGGGACACGAGCCCGTCCACACAGCCGCCCGCCGGAGCCCCGAGCAGGAGGGGGCTCGCCGGTCTCTTCCGCGCTCAAGGTAAGACGCTGCTCCCGCGTGTCCCCGCATGGACTGGCGAGTGCGCATTGCAATGCATGGGCTTTTCTTTTTTTCTTTTTTTTTTTTTTTTGGAAAGTGCCTCTTCTTCAAACTCACTCCGGTCTGGGCTCGGGAGGAGAGGCGGCAGCGGCTTT